CACCCGCGTCTCGGAGTTGGATATCATGTACGAGAAGGATATGCTGCAAGCCCTGATTGTCCGAAATGGTCAAGAAATGCGTATTCAGGTGCCGACTGTCCCAACAGAGGACCTAGAGACTGACCATGTGGTCGTGTTCTGTGGTGCTGTGTTGCAGAAACCGCACCATGCGGTCCGTCAGCAGATTTCCAAGCTGCACAGCGAAGTCTACGTCAGCGCAAGAGTATGCCCTCTCCCCCTTTACCACTGCTATCTAAGTCACTAATCACCCATCCATTCTACAGAGTCGCGGATCCCCCTCCTACCAATACGGCTTGGCCCCAACCAACTTCATTACCGCCGTAAACGGCATCCCAACCCCTAACCTGGACCGCTTCTCCGAAGAAGTGAACAAAATCCCCGACAATACATATTTCCGCCTACGGGCGGTGACCTTCGATAATGTGCCGTGGGTAGTGACCATGAAGAAGAACGATTATTACGTATGCCAACATCCCCCAAAATCATATACTTCTTATAAACGTGCAGAACTAACATTAATCTTTAGTTCCCCATGTCCGAGTATATCAAAGACCAGTCCCAGCCCCCCGGCTGGCGGACAGTGTCTCACGACAAGGATAAATATAAAGACGGCATTGCGCCGGATGCTGCGAACTTGAACCCGGATGCTATGGACGAGGGGTTTGACGGTGTCAGTGATATTGAGCCGGATTTCGAGTGATTGGAGGCCGACTCTATAGTACTTCGTGATGAGCATGACTGTGTTAAATGTGTATAGCAGACATGGCTTGGAAAAGTAGCAAGTGAAAAATGGGAAAATGATAGATACAAAACGATAGAAACCAGTAGCTTTGCGTATACGAAGTCGTAGACGGATGGTATCATTCTGGGCGAATACTCGGTATGAAGTGTCTACTCTGCTAAGATCTCATTAGAGTTAAGTCTCTGGTATGTTGAGTATTTGTCCCATAACATGCATTTACTATCATGTACCCCGTATATACACAGTGTATTACTTGACAATCTAGGTCTGAGTGAATGGAGAATCAAATGACATACAGGGGAAAAAAGAAGATATCCTTATGAAAAGAACACAATTTCAGAATCAAGTTGGACCAGACTAATTGTACAGCATCTTGCACAATTACCATGCCTACCCCAGACTCTTCCCGAATCTTTTCCCAAACCCTAACATATATACTAGTCTGTATATAGTTAGCATGTGAACAAGACTTCTTGGCAGGTACCGATTTGTCTTGTAGCTTCTATCAAAATTACACTTGGTCTTACAGGAGGCGTAAAGCCCATACAGAATTCTAGATGCTTCGGTCGTGGGTGACTCGGGCACATGCCACTCAGACGGGGCAATTTGTCAACACTGGAACGTCTTCACTCTCCCATGCCTAAATCTTGCGCTGCTGAACTGTCTGAAAACACCATACAAGAGCTGATTGTTTGAACAGGACAGGCCGAGTCAGCAGAATTCATGCTGTTAGTAATCATTCTACTTGGCCTGTCAGATGAAGCCTTCCCCAACAAGAGAGTAGGCACTGGTTGTAAGACTAACAGCGATGGCACTAGTTCTAGGTAGCTCAAAGCCGTTGTCGATTTAGAGGCAATGGCATACAGTCCTTCAGACGACGTCTCCCAATACCAGCCAGCCAACCTTTGGACTAGCACTCCGGAATATGCCCCAACCCCTGGTTACTTCGGTCGTACCTCCGAATCATCATGTTCCTCCCCAGAATACATGCCCGATGATCATCGTTCAACCCATCAACAACCACAATCAGAACAGCTAGAATTCCTCCCATTCGCAGAATGGGAAGAGGAACGAGGGTATAATGAGCAGCCTCCTGTATATATTCATTATCGGATCGACTGGAAAATGACCCTCAACGGCAAGAGTATTGCGCAGATCACCGAGCCAGACCTTGCAGTCAGGCCAAGTGAATATTGGCAAAACTCTCTGAAGGATGCGGCGGAAAGGTTCAAGAATCGTAAGGTAGATCATACCCGGAGGGTCAGAATGGATGATATAACTTTTGTGGCGTCCGTTAAGGACCGGACCCAGCAGGATCTCCGTCAACAAGATGAAAGCACTAAAATCAAGTGGGCAGTTATAGAAAAGCAGCTCTTGATGTGGAGCAATCTATTCCGCCTTGGAAAACAGATCAAACTTCAAGTATCCATTAACTACACAGAGGACAGCAATGCGGCTTTGCTAAAACGCGGAGAAAAAAGAGCTGCTACGTCGGCGACGAAGCGGATGCTCGCTGAGCGGGATGCTCAAATTGATGGTGAGAACGTGTCCGGACAAGCTTCCGCTTGGCGGGACGTATTTAGAAATTAGTACCGCACCAACCCTCGATCAAGATGTTGACAATGACCGATTCTCAAGAGCCCTTCCTACTGAAACAGCGAACACACACATCAGGACCGCCCTGCTGAACGCAGAGACCACCAGAGAAGTGCAAGTCGCGGGCATTGGTACTACCAAAACAGGGTATGTCATTCGATTCCGGGACACCCAGTCTGCGGAGACAGCCCGGAACAGCACCGAGTGGCTGGAGGAGCTGGGAAACAACACCAAAGTAGTGAAACCCCGGTTTGGGATCGTGGTTCACCGAGTTCCAACCGAAGACTTCGAACTAGAAGGAAACAAGAAACAAGGGATCGAGAAGATTATGGCTGAGAATGACCTCCATGACAAGAAATTCCGGGTCGAAGATATTGCATGGTTGAAGAAGAGGGACATGCCTTTAGGAAAATCAGCCTCGATGGGGGTCTGGTTGGACTCACCGGAGGCAGCAGAATGGATTATCGATAACGGACTGTTAGTAGGGCAAAGGTTCATTGGGAGCGTGGAACCCTACCGGATGGAGAAGAAGAGGTGTCGCCGCTGCCAACAATTTGGCCACCTAGCCTGGTCATGCAAGGAACGAGTGAAGTGCGGACATTGCGCGGGTCACCACGACCAGCGTCACTGCTTCCCAGGAATAAGATCCAGATGCTCAGACTGCAATGGAGAACACCCAACGGGCGACCGGGCATGTCAGGCATCCCCTAACCCCAGTCCATTCCAATGACAGCAAACCTTCGCATCTTACAGTTGAACATCATGAAATCGAGGGCAGGGATGGAAGCCCTCATCAACGACCATCAAAGCCAGAACCTGGACCTACTTCTGATTCAGGAACCGCCAAAGACAGCATACCACACCCATGTTAACCACACTGCTTGGCGACTCTACCGGCCGACACACCCGGAAATACCTCGGTTCCGCAGCCTCCTCTATGTCAACCGGAGGATCTCCACATCATCACACCGCCAAATCCACTGCTATCACCCAGACGTAGTAGGCATCAAACTCTGGACTTCAGAACTACAGTACCTGGTATTCTCAATCTACATCCCGCCAATAGCGATGCATGAGCCGTTCGAAGCCAGCAGCGCCCAGGAGATACTGGAGGAAATCCAGAAAAATATCCAAGAACATACAGAGCAGAATAGCCGTACAACAAAACTTATCTTAGCAGGCGACTTTAACTGTCACCACCCTGCATGGAGCCATCGCGCGGTCCATCACCGCTTCGCACAACATGCGGAGGAACTGATCAACTTCTTTCAAGCCCACGAGCTACAGTGTGCCTGGCCAAAGGCGACATAACATACTGGTCCCTTAATCAACCGGGAAAGACATCAGTTCTCGACCTCACGCTCTCCAACGATGTAAC